AGATAAAAGACCAAATGAAACCATAAGACGCCAAATGAAACTAAAACACGACATCGTAAATGACATTAGAAATCAGCAATTAATTTGGTATGCACATGTGCAAAGAATGGAAGAACATCGAATCCCAAAGAAAATATTAAATTAGAACCCTCAAGGTAGAAGAAAAAGAGGAAGACCACGCAAGAGCTGGAGAGAGGGTATTGATAAAGAAGTTTTGTACAGAGGTTTGGAAGTAGGTGAATGGGGAGATAGAGAGAGGTGAAGATTAGGAATTGGAAGACGGAAAACATTGTAACCCGATTATATACTAGATATATATTAAAACATTTTCACGACATTTGCAAATATTAAGAATTTGAAGTCATCAGTGGAGGCCTCGGTGGAGGCTCTTGTTAAAGGTCACATGGGCACATTTCCACCCAACCAGAAGTTTACCCGTCCTAATATCCATATAGTCAAAAGTCGCTTAATATCGGTTATCGATCGGAAGCCGGTATTTCGACATAACTGGTCCGTTGACCCTTTCAGATAACTGTTTATTTTTAATCGGTTATAAAATCTGCTCTCTATTTGATTATTAGCAACGATCATAACAATTACGGATTTTTATCAGTTGTGCCGCTGTCGATAACCCAAAAACATTCCGTCTAATTTTTATTGTATGTACTTAGTCTTTAGCTCGTCTGTGCTATGGTGCGTATTAAATATTTCAATATATTTTTGTAAAATAACTAAATTGAAGTGTTATTCGTTATGAAAGAAGCATTCATTAGCTTTAAATAAGCAGCTACCTTATGGTTTAAATGCATTATTTATTTATTTATTTATTTATTTATTTATTTATTTATTCTACAACACTCTACAGCTTACGCCAATTACAGAGTGGGTTACACACAAAAAAAATTCAATACAAAATAATTAAATTAAACAAAAAATAACATCAATGAGAAAAAATACATATCAATGAAAAAAAAAACAACAACAATATAAACCAAGAAAAACCACTAAACTGAACTCACAACCGAAACCAAACTGCAGCTGAAAATATCAAAATTACACTGATATAAATTATATGCATCCTGCATACGTTTCAATGGCGAATATTTACTTACATTTGTGCGCGAGGAGGCCACATAAAATGTAAAGCTATACCGAGAGCTACGTGGGACCAGAAAATTGATTTGACTGAGAACATCCGGACTATCAATTTCATTATGTAATAACTTGTATAATAATTTCAGCTCTGAATTTGTCCGTCGAACCTCCAAGGAATCTAGAGAATGTTTCTGTAATAAAGAGCTGTGACAGCAGCCAATTTGCGGGTAAACCCCATCAGTTTTTAATATTAGTTAATAAATAATGTATATACTTTGAAAAAAATTCTATTTTTCCCCATTAAAAGAAAACATACAAAATCAAAAAGTATTTTTTGTAAATACATTATGCGTTAATCCATGGACTCCAATGTGTCAGTGGTTTTTTATTAATGAAACAAATTTGACCTAACCGACAAAAATGCTTAACTCTAGAAATCACGTAACGCGTAATATATCGCCAGGCATACGGGATACATGTCAATTGGTAAACATGGGAATGGGCATATCTTTTAACGAAGTTTGCCGAAGCTGGAAGGACTCGAAGAAAAGGGAATCAGTCCAGTATTTCCTGTGCCGCTCTCCGTCTTTTTATTGGACCCAGAATTGCCTCAAAGGCGACACCTTCGTAGATCTTGAAGATATTGCCCGGAAGAGTATAACGGAAGTCATCCGTTACTTCAATGCCGAATGCATATAAACACTTAACAATCCAGCATTACCATCCCTAGAGATAGGGTCTCGGAGTAGGCGGTTTGGAAAAAATTCGAATTGGTATCAACAATTCTGCTAATTGGAGTTCGAAAAGCGGTCACAGTCGCTACTTAAATCAACCAACTCTATAGAAGTTCATTAACGACTCCAATATTTATAAATTCTTAAAACCTAATCATTTAGCTACCTCCATCGAATAGTATGAATAACTCTGAAAAAAAAATGAATAACTAACTGAAAATTTATTCGTAAAGATTTACATTCTGTTCTGACAGATAATAATCTGTTGAGTCCCTCAACAATGAGTTAGTGGAACCCCATAATCGCCCCATTTTTAAATGGGGCGATTATGGGCGAAAAAAAAACAGTTTACTGTGTTTCGAAAAATTCCAAAAATTTTCCAGGCAAATATCGAGTTTTTTACTAAAAAAATGCAGAGCTAATATAATTTTGTTTTAAAGAAGTTAAATGAAATAAAAGAACTAATTAAAATTATGTAAAGAAAGAAACTCCGATCAATATTCAAACAATTTAGTTTCTATTTAATTTTATCGCCTTTCTAACGTACCTACTTTAAAACTTTAAGAAACAATCCCTTTAACAAAATATAAGACTTTACTTTTCAGAAACTTATTAAATAAAGCTAGTTGGCACAGATTTTAATTAAAGCTTTATCCAGAAGATTTATATAAATTCGCCTTATTTAGATACATTATCAGTTAATGAATTATTTAATAACTTTATTACGATAACAGTATAAGTTTTAAGATAAGCATTTACTACGACCATAATATTTTTACTCTGTTCATTTTATTCTATACAATACGCAGTAGTGCTGATTGAGATCCATATTAATTACTATTAAATTTATGTTAATTTTTTTCTAATAATTATGATGTATTTATTTGAAACAATACAAATGCAGTATCTACTACTAAAAAGAATATTTCTAAATAAAGTATTAGGCCGATTTTCGTCAAAGTTTTGAAAAGTTCTGCTAAGGGTACCGTATCGTATGCTTTTTGAATGTTGATAAAAATCAGATGGTTTGGGTAAATGTATTATTCTCTTTTCAATAACTTGTTGCACGGTGAAAATATTATCTAAGCACGTCCTCCCTGCGCAAAAACCACTTTACTCCTCTAGATTCTGGCATTCCATTTCAATTCTCGTTTTCAAAATTCTACCATACAACCTCCCCATTGCACTCCCAACTAGCAAATATAGTTCCCAGTTCTTTTTAAAATGTCACTGCCCCTAAAGTATAGTTCCTAGACCCACTCTGCCACTTAAAATTCCTATAAGGAATAGTCACTTCGAAGTATATTTCGGGAGTGACCGGTTAGTGCCTACCTACCATAAAAGTGGAAAATAAACACCCCGATTGCAAGTCGCAAACATGTAATTTAAAGAAGTAGCTGGAACTATCCGAATCTTCGAATATGACACCATAAAAGACCAAAAACTTTCTAGTAACTTTTCAAAGTAGGGGTTACTAACAAGTGCTACCATAATGCCTCCATTAAGTTTTTGTTACTTTATAGTAACAATTTAAGTTACGGGGTAGTCGCGGCCACGACACCTAGTTACTTCTAATTTATAGTAGCATTGAAAGTAGCTAAATGGTTACAGCTACGGATCACTATAAAGTAGCCGTCGCTCATCCATTGCCACTAAAAAGTCACGGGGGTCAAAAACGGCTAGTTTATAGTGACCATAACTTAATATACCCTAATAAATGTAATTGTCTCAGATTGCATCGTGTGCTGTTCTGTTTTAGTGTTTTCTTTTATTTGCTTTTAAGCTTTATTAAATTTTTGTAAAATCCCTAAGGTGAATAAAAAGAAATTTAGATATTCTAGTACTTTCTACCGAAGAATTAACCAAAAGGACTCATTGCGAGCAGATGCATGAACATTAGAAACAAAAACTACATCTTTCTATAATCCTACTGATGAACATCATAAATCAGGTAGTGACTGAGACATTTTTGAAGCTGTTTCTGTAGATGAGTGTAGTGTGAGTTCATCTGAAGCTGAATCTCTGAGGAGAATTAATTTGAGAACCAATAACAATATAAAATAAGAGCTGAAAGAGTGGGCGTTAAAATACTCTATACCTCATGTAGCTCTGAATAATATAGAAACACTAATAATAGAAAATGCGCAATAAGTAAAATATAACTTCAAAGGACAAGGCGTAACGTTATAGTGGCACCAATGGAATGTATAGTCGCCACCGGCACCGCCGTGATCGGTGTAGCATAACGCTCCACTAAAGTGGAAATTTAGTGGCGCAGGGAACTCTCTTGGAAAAAATCACTTTATGGTTTGCAAAGAATCGTTGACCATGTAGTTCCAAAAATGTTATTGTTTCTATAAAGTCGCCTTTGGATAGCTACAATTGTCACTTTATCAATCCGAAGATTTTAAAGATCCAAACGGGTAGGTTTGGCCTAATATGTTATTGTTCCCAGTACATTGTGGAAGCATATAGAACTATAAAGTATTTTTCAGATTAAACGGTCATATTTTTTTCATGAATTTTTAGACGAACAGCCAAATGGCTCAAACATTATGCGTTTTTAAGCTAGATTAAAGCTTTTTTCCTTAGTTATTTCGTTATTTCTGACGGTGGACCAATATTTTAAAGTTTGACCCCGGTTTCAAGCAAATTATTATTATTTTTTAATTGCAAACATGAGTTTCTATTGCAAATAATATAATAATTTGAAATATTTTGAGAGGCTCTCAAAAATTTTGTTATATAAACCCACTATTTTATTCAGTAAAGTTGATTGCGTTCTGGAATTTACCTAAAAAGGCGTTAAAATCGCACGGTAAATAACAAATAACGAAAAAATAGTAATGGCTTCCATAATTATTTTCCATTATGACATTTATTTTTATGAAATGTGAAATTGCATATAGAGAGAAAGTTTTGAGATATTTGTTAAAAAATTCTTCTAAAATTTCCAGTAGTATGACTGGTCCGTGTTTTACTAGTTCAATGGGGATATTTCCAGATTCTGAAGCTTTGCCACTTTTCATACTTCTGAGAGCTTTTTCTATTTCATTTATGTTTATGTTTACTGTATCCACCTGTATGATTTTAATTTCTTCTGTTGGTTCAAATATTTCTATATAATATTATGTTACCTCCGATCATAAAATACATGGTTAAAATACATACCTCTTTGAGCACTTCTCTACCTTCTATGTTATAATGCCAGATCCTCAAATAGTTTGAAGTCTCCCTGCAATAATACAAATAAAAATATTGTAATATTAAGATAATATTAGTAATATTGTAATACAAATTTCAATAAAATATAGAACTAAAAATCATAGGAATATCTAACAGTAAACATATTTTTACAGTAAAACATATTTTACTAAATTTAAGCTTTTTGTCAATATATAACATAAATATACATTAAACTGGGTAGATATTGTTTTCCCCATATTTACAAAAATGGCAATACAATTTTATTTTAATATTTACAGAGCGTAAGCAAAGCTTATAATCGAAACCTTTATAATATAATAGCAACGGGTTATTTTACAGTACGCGTTATTACATTTTTATCACTTCCATTTAAAAATACCATTTTTTACTTAAAATTATTCTTCAGCTATGGAAAATATATCTTCTTCAGATATGTAAAATATTAAATTTGACATATAATCCAGTAAAATTGTATCGCCGTATAGAGAGTGAAAATAAAAAATTACGGGCAAGCTGATTTTTTTGTTGATTGTTGGGCAAGCTGTTTGATCTATTTGTCAGCGACTGTCTTCTGAGTTTAAAATTAACAAAATCGGAAATTTCTCCCTTGCGGCTTTTGAGCAGTAGGGGTGTTTTTTTAACTGTACTACAACAAAATAATTAGACGCAAATTGTACATAAAAACATTCTCTATAAGTTCATCTAATGATTTTTTTTCATTCTAATCTCTCTCATCTAATGAAAGTTTATTATTTCCGGACTTATCGGCCGTTTTCAAAAAGTTTGTTTTACAGCAAATAGACCCGTATGAAAGTTGTTTATAATAAATGGACAAGCAACTTTTCCTGAATTTTTTTTGTAGCTTGATTATTTTTGGAGATAGCGTCCAGTCCACGAACAAATTAGGGTAGTTTTCAATGTTACTCTTTTTTCAGCAAATTCACTCTAGGAAACTCATTCAAAATAAGAGTACATATACCTTTGCCTTATGAACTTTTTTTGTAACTTGACTATTTTTGGAGATAGCGCCCAGATCATGAACAAGTGATGGTAGCTTTAAATGTCTTTTTTTTTCAGGAAATTCACAAGTGCTATATTATTAGCTTATATAGTGTGCTTGTGGGACGCCCTGCCTAGCTGCTTGTGGTTGCCGCAAAGCAGGTCTAAAGTGCACAGTACTTTATAAGCATTGCGCTGGTGAGACACGCGAGAACGTACAACCACCTCCAAAAAATTTGCGAGAATGATGACAGCGATTGTAACGACGACGACTTTACTTCATACGAAGCAACAAAAGAAACCAACAATAAATCTGAGCGGCCAACGCCAGGTCCATCACACAAAAGAAGACGATATAAATAAAAAAAATCATAATATTCATTCACTTCATGAATTCCATGTTTCGTTTTAGGGAAATAAATACATATCAAAGGGACGTTTGCATGTAAGTTTAATATGAACACCTTTAAGTTGGTAAATTTGTAGAACTAAACAAAAATTATGAAACTACCCCAATTTGCTCATGAACTGGACGATATCTCCAAAAATAATGAAGCTACAAAAAAATATCATGAGGTAAAGTTGCTTGTCCATTAATTATGAACAATTTTCATACGGGTCAATTTGCTGTAAAACAAACTTTTTGAAAACCACCCAAAAGGGCTCATGAAACGGCCGCTAAGTTCGGAAATAATAAACTTATAAAAAAAATCATTAGGCGAACTTATAGAGAATGTTCTTATGTACAATTTGCGTCTAATTATTTTGTTATAGTACAGTTTTAAAAAAACCACCCCTATTGCTCAAAAATCGCAAGGGGAAAATTTCCGATTTTGTTTATTTTACATTCAGAAGACAGTCGCTGACAAACTCTGAAAAAATCAGCTTGCCCGTAATTTTTTTTTCAAATGACTTCTGAAAGATAAAATTGGATTAATAATTTTGTATGATTCTAATCGTATTGTTCTTCTCAACACTATACAAATAAATAATAAAATACATAGATAAATACATCTATCGATCGTCATATTTATTTTACTAACTTCTTCCCTCAACAGGACAATAAAAATCTGAAATTGAACATAGCTACATACATAACTGATAAAATATAAATGTAGTGATTATCACAGCCACTGTGGTATAAAAAATAATTATATATTAATATTTTATTATTATGTTTTTAATTATTAAATTTTTCATTTATTTTACTAATAGGTAGGTACACTAATTTTTATTTATTCATTTCATAAAAATTGATGTATATGCTATACACTTGAAATAATTATTAAAATTTTCAGAATAAGAACTTCAAAATATTTTAGAACTTCAAAATAACATGATTCATAATACCTGTGATAATACCTACTTAGATAAATATTAATTTAGAGTATTTTCTAAAGAGCTTTTGTAGAGATAACACTTATACTATCAGAATTTGATTGTTTTGCAATTGTAAAATAAATACATGTATTATTAAAAATAATACTTTTGAAGATCCAAAATACATAAAATAAATAAACCAAATCTCTTTATAAAATTCTACTGTGTAGGTACAGCGATACTAATTATTATGACTAAAATATATATTATATTTTTCTATTTAGTTTTGAAGCCAACATATTGCACCTATAAAATATATCAAAAGTTTGATGATGCCGTTAACTCATATTTATTATAAATACAAAAATATTTACATTCGATCAAAAATTATTACATAAACGACTTCTTGTTAATCCAACAGGGCAGGTGCAAAACATAATTTTTAATGTAAATATAATACACTCTAAATTATCTCGAAGTAATTGTTCATAAACGTCAAAATGAACATCTCGTCCTATAAACAAATTGATTTTATACTTTGTCTTATTTTTGTATATTTAGAGTATAATTACTTTTACAAATTATAAACTGTCAGATTATTTGAAATTATTATTCCGTAGTTTATTAAGCTGCTATAAATTATTAAATGGGTAGATTTTATCCTATTTATCGATATGGTAGGTGTTCTAAATTAATGTTAGTAAATAATTTTGAAATGAATAGGATAGGTAAATATAGTAGGAAACACGTGTAATCTTTCACAGTTAATTATGATTAATTTGCGCTAGTAGTAGATTCGAGTTTGCTTAAGCGGCCTACACATGTCCAATCAAACTGGATGTTGCTTCCACATTACCCGATTTTTCAATAAATCTGTCTGTATGCAAGAATCAGTAGCTATAAGTATGCATAGTTCCTATTTACAACGAGAAAGAAAAAACATATTTGGCATATACATACATATGTGGTATAACAGATAAAAATTATCATGCGATTCTGCTAGAAGAACAAGACTGCTGAAATTAATTGCGAATGGACAATCATTGTTTCAATGAACTAGTAAATGTAAGGGATCTCTCAAGTAATAATGTTGTTTAGAGGAAAATAAGTATGCAATAACTGATCTCTACAACGGATTCTTATTAAATAATAAATATTTTTGGTATTACAAATGTAACGCAGGTTGTGTGGACTGACTCAGATTAAAATATCTTAATATTCTAATGTTTAAAGGGAACATTCGACTATAAGGTAATAGATGTACAATTCTAGAGGTCTAACATTTTCTTCAGTTCATGTAAGTTTGGCCGCTAATTGCCAGTATTCTCAGGCCCAACATCACATAAAAAGCAGCTTTGCATATGAACATGAACATGCAGTCTATATTGTGAGTAAGAAGGCAGTCTAGGTTTTCAGCAAGTGAAGAGTCTATACTGTCAGCAAGTTGGATAGTCTTCAATACTGTTAACAAATGGATACAAATGTCTTCATTGTCAGCAAGTAGACAATATATCTTTAGAAAAGGAAAAATAAAGTAAATTTTTGTCTGAAACTGCTTAGCAGAATATTGAAATAATAATTTTCTCCTGCGAGGATATAGGCAGGTCGACTTAGTGGTCAATTTCTAATTTCGAATGGATTCATGTTTTCAAGACACACTACCGCTTTATAAGGAATTCTCGATCTTGTAGAGTGTATAGTCTATATCCCCTTCCACTTTGTACCGGCCGTTTGGTAGCACTTCAAGCACTTTAAAAAGACCTTTGAACGTCTCCACTAATTTTTTTGCTGCCGTTATTATATGGTAGGCTTGCAATTTTAGTGAGCACATCGTCATCAATTTGAAATCCAGCTGATATTTTTTTTTAATAAGCAACCTTGATATTAATCTTATCTCTATTTTAGAGCATTTTTGCATATCTCGCTTTTACTACAACGAGACGACGAGAAGTGGACATGGGATTAGTGTCAGATAAACCGTATGTAGATTTTTTCGCGTACACAAAAAAATCCCACTTCTGATGTAAGGAATCTCTCAGGTAATAATGTTGTTAAGAGAAAAATAAGTATTTAATAGAAACAACTGATCTATACAATTCAATTCTCATTAATTCTCAATTAATCAGATTAAAATAATATAATGTTCTTACATAAACTTGGTTATGCCTTTAATTAAAGAAATAATAATTATTATACATTATTCACGCTCTATACCATCAGAAAAACACGATACAATAAAACACAATTTAGAATTATCGGATAGATATAAAAACGGATCAATTTTTCATCGAACCCGATTAAATCGACACAACCAACCGATCGAATTGGAGCAATTAATATTCTAACATCATCTGATATCCGTAGATTAGTTTGCATCTAATGATGACCCTAAGTACAATATTAAAAGTAGCTCTAAAAAATCAAGTAGATGTAAATATACACGCCATGTATTACTAAGCAAAAAAAAGATTAATAATTTATATACAAAAGGCTATACTTCTCTCTGTACTTAAGGCTATATTTATGTTAAGTGTGCTATTAATAATCATGGTGCATATTACAATAATAGATTGAAGGTTTCTTCAATCACTCGCTTTATTCTTGAGAGAGATGATATATGTAACTGCATATTTGATAACTACATCTTTTATAACCTGCGATTTCAGAATTTTTATTTTTAAATAAGTCACGAGAAAAAGTAAACATCAA